ACAGTCCAAGGTGAACGCCCTCTTCCCGTCAGCGCTGTGGATGTTTCTCTAGGGTCTCACCTGACCCTGCATTTTCTAACCCGGCCCTTCACTCCGGCTCCTTCAGTAACATTTACAATATTGAGAAGTGAAAGCTAACCATGCTCACTGAAGCATATAGATTCCACCCCAACTCCGAGCCCTTACATTTTCACAGTTCCCAGGGAAGATCTCTGTACGCGGGAGACACTTGGAAAGACAGAACCTGGGATGCGGGCTGGTTTGCTGCAGAGCCACACCCTGGCAGGTGGAAGTGCAGTTTTACCTCCCACTCCAGATAAACTTGAACCCGGCCCTCCTGCAGGCACTCTCCACCGCGGAGCCAAACCTCCCTGTCACTCACTGCGTCACATGCCGCATCCAGGCATCTCTGAGAAACAGGGAGTTGAGACGCTTGGTCATGTGCTGATTCTATAGACACTTTGCAACCATTTGTCATGAGTCTTTGAAAAGAGAACCAGAGCTGGCCCATGAGCAAGCTGAGTGCAGAGGTTTCCTCAATCCTTATCTTCTGACAAGAGGTCTTATTTTAGTTTGTATGCGATTCAGTCACTAGAGTTGTCTTAGCTGTGTAACCTCTGTCCTGACTGCAGGAAGGATCTGAGTAGCTGTGGCCACCATGGCCTGATGGGAGATGGAAGGACACAGGGAGATGGTGGCTGCAGGGACGGTCCACCCCCTGGTAACACTCCCCAAAGGCTCTGGATGGAGAGGTCTGCCACGTCGGCTCTGCTCCAGAGTGGGAAACACGGTGGGGGATTTAGCCCCTACAACAGGGTCAGTTGGAGAAGAAAGCTAGCAGCAATAAAATAAACACATTCTCATCACCCAGCTTGGCAGAGCAAAGGAGCAAACTGCAGTTTGGCACAACTCTGTACAGACCGCCAAATTCAAGTTTTCTTTTAGAAACTCAGTTTTGCCAACTTGTCCTCTGACGGCAGGGCATGCATGTGGGAGGGCTAGAGACTCACCCAGGGCCTGGCAATGTAGATGTCGCCTGGAGGTGTCCTGTGGAGCGTCACCTATTAGACTGCAAACCTGGAAGGCCACTCTAAGCCTGGGGTGTCAGAGGCAGCATGAAGGTCCATTTTTTGAGTGTTTTCAGATGAGCAGGTAATAAGTACTATGAACACGCCGAGCGTTCTCAGTTTGCCTGACTTAGCTTCTTAGGAGAGTCCATTAAGAATAACCTTTACCGTTATGTCTTTAAGTATATTTAATACATTCACCTATTTTTAAAGTAAGTGAACATGCCTCATCAAACAGTAATGAAGCAAAGGCCTCAAGCCAGCTTATCTAAGAAACATAAATCAAGGTCCTAAATCACTTCACTAATGCTTGGGTAGGAAAGTTGAAATGGTATGTGCTTCTTGGTAGCTGTGATTCTAATTTTCTCCAAAACTGAGTTATCTGCCATCAGACAAAATTTGCTAACAGCCTCACTCATTATTACAGATTCATGTCACTGCTTGTGAGAGATGCTTGCTTTCCTTTTCTACGCTCACAAAATCGCAGCCTTGGGCAATTAATCCTGATAACACCAAGAGAGACCCAAATACTTGCTATATCATTTAATGACTCTTGGCAGAAAGGAAAAACACTTCACTTGAACATGGTATTATAAAAATATGTATTTCACTCACTTTCATAGGAAATTTAACTATTTGATGAATTGTCTTTGTATGTTACCTGATTTTCATTTGTACTTAACGATTTGTCTTAAAGATGATACATAAAAATGAGATGAAAATATACAATGTTCCCCATAAACCAAGATTTAATCTTGGAGATTAAATGTTGCCCCAAGTGAAATAGCTAAATTCAATGGATTTTAATTACTTTTGTCCCCATGGGCTCCCTCCGCCACCTTAATTTCTTCTATTTTCCCCTTAGGTTGCGATGATTAATTTGCAAGTTTGGTCCCATACTATCCATGAAACTAAACAAAACATGTGACAGCCAAGATGATTCAGTGCCACCTTTTGACTAAGCAGGCGAAGTGTCCTTTTCAATGCCAGCCTGTGCCCATGACCTGGCACGAGGGTGGTGGTGGGGATGGCCGACGGCCCTCTCAGCAGCCACCTGCTTCCATGCCCTTGGGCCATGGTCCTCCTAGTGATGGGCTTGCCAGCGTCTTGGGAGGCAGCTCCCATCCCCTACTTTCCACTCTCAGATTGTCCTGAAACCACACTTTCTTGACTCTGAATATAACAGCAGCCCATGGATTCCTTTTCATAGGGCAGCAGCAACTTACCAGGATACATGTTTTCCCTTGAATGAATCCCGAGGTTTCGGAAGCCACTCCTCCCTGCCCTCGATTTCTCTAACAGCTCTTTTGGGTGCTGAGACTCTAAGTGTAAAGCTTAACACTCACCCAGTGGAAGCAACAGCCTTACTGAAAGCCTCCTTAGTGTTGGCTTAGACAGGAAATGGAAATGGTCTGCGTTATCCATCCTTTAAAGCATTTCTAGTGCTCAGCCTCCATGAAATGGATTGCTTATAGGGAGATAATGGCTGTTCTATTCCTTTTTAAGTCTGTGAAAAATGTCATCCTGGTTAATAGGGTGATTAAAACTCTTTATGCTCCGGGAGATAAATGTGATTATGTTTGTCATATTCTACCCAAGATAAAGACAGCAAAGAAGGCAAACTTGAAATTCCATCACATTTCCTCTCTTCCATATCCAGGGACATTCAGAGCTCAATACACAGATGGTACGTCTCATAAAGAATAACATTATCTGTTAAACATTTTTCCTTTCCATTAACCAATTTAACAATATGCCTCTGGTACAAAAGGAATAGACAAATGATGAAATCCACTGATATTCAAGTTCTGACTGTGGAAAACACCACTTGAGTCATACTGCTTGTTTTCTTGTTAAATTTCCATCTGTGCGTTACTTCACTTTTGCTTTTAAGATGCAATTAGAGCCGAAGCTCGTTTCCTCTTCTAGGGAATTTGTCCCTGCCAGCCTCCCCTCTGCAGGGGATTCATCGTCATTCTTATGGGAGTCCCCCTGCCATCGGTCAAGGACAGCAGAGGTGATGTATAAGGGTTTTGCAGACACGAGGCATGCCACTCTGGTATTCGGACACTCCTTCAGCAACATACATCTAGCCCTCCTCCGCGCCAGCCCTGTGGGAAAGCAGCGCCCCCGCCAGGGCCCCTGGCTCCTTCCTAGGGCCTAGCTGCCATCCGCCCGACGTGCAGCAGCCCCTGCAGTGGTGCTGACACCAGTTTACAAGGCCCTGAGAGGGGTCCCCACCCTTAGGGAGGTTACAAGGCAGGAATCCATTAAATAGAATCACAGTTAACAATGATGTCTCCTTTTAACACTCCAGACAGGCGGGGAAGCCTCCTTTCTCCACCCAGTGGAGGTCTTTAGAAACCATGAGACATTCTCCATCTACGAAAAATAAAACCCAGATTCTAGCTGTAAACAGTTTTAGGTAGTGCCCATTCTTTCCTCCCCCCACATCAGATGGGTAAAGTGCACTGCTGTAACAAGATTTGAGGGCCATCTCATGCACAAGCTTGGAAACCCACGTTTATGAAGCACAAAAGGATCAGGCGGTGCCCACTCTATTCAGGGGACCTAGATTCAGACTAATTGTGTGGATGAAAACCTGTTCTTTGGCTCCGGCCTTTCCTTCCTTTCATTCAAAGGCTACAAATTTCTTCTCAGAGGAGATTTAACTACAAATGAAAGGCCGGTGAAGAGTTTTTGCTACCTGCATTCACTGACCAATTTCACAATCCTTTCCTTTCAGTCTTGGATTTTTAACAGATTACATATGAATTCCAGATGCTGATTACACCTGTTTCATTAACAAAACAGCAATTTTAACAGGGTAACATGGTCTAGAGAAAAGTATTACATTATGTACTTGTTTCATTTAAAAATCTCCCTTAGAATAAAAGGTTTCGTGATAACAGAAATTTCAAATGTCCTTTATTAAACCTGATTGCTAATTAGAGCCTAGGCAAGTAGGAAGAAACTGCACAACTGATATTTAACCACAGGTTATTTCTCTGGACATACTGACATATTAAAGTATTTATCTCCTTGAAAATATTTTAAAATGCAATTGCAGTAAAAATAATTGCATGAAGACATTATTCTCCATTTGTTTTTTTGTAGGAGATTGTGGAAGACATGAGGGAGTTGGGTGTGCACATAGAATTTACCCTAACAGCTTCGTTAGGGAGGTGGTACCAAATACTTTATATTGGGACTCCGTACTCAGGTGACTTTCTGGTTAAAAATATTGAAGACAGGCCGGGCGTGGTGGCTCACGCTTGTAATCCCAGCACTTTGAGAGGCCGAGATGTGCAGATCATGAGGTCAGGAGATCGAGACCATCCTGGCTAACATGGTGAAACCCTGTCTCTACTAAAAATACAAAAGAAAATTAGCTGGGCGAGGTGGCAGGCGCCTGTAGTCCCAGCTACACGGGAGGCTGAGGCAGGAGAATGGCGTGAACCCAGGAGGCGGAGCTTGCAGTGAGCCAAGATTGTGCCACTGCACTCCAGCCTGGGCGACAGAGCGAGACTCTGTCTCAAAAAAAAAAAAAAAAAAAAAAAAAATTGAAGACAGACGACAATTGGGCTCTTTTTACTTTGACAATTGAGACAAAATGACAAACTGTCAATGTTCAGAGATCCAGACCAACTTCTCAAAAACATATTTTTACCCCTGATATCATCATTACTTTACCCCAACTGTGCCTTTTTGGGTGATCACAACTCATTACTGGCTTTTTGTTTTAAGTATAAGAATTTATAGTGCCTTCAAGAGAGGGCATCAGGTAAACCAGCATGTGTGCGCTCGCTGTAAATCACAGACCACATGAGGACACGAGAGCCACACCCACTTCCCACCACACAGGACTCACCAGGTGACTGTCACTTTGTAGTCTGGCTAATCAGAATAAGACTTCCAAGTTCTGTCACATACTGACAAGAAAGGCTCTTAAAACTCCTTTAATTAGACACATTGCAGTACTATTGCTATTAGGGGGTCTGTTTTATATTTTCCTATCATACTTTTATTACAAACTTTTTTTAGGTATGAAACTTGGTTCAACTATTACAAACAGAATCATTTCCTGTGGGATCCCCTCCATATAAGGAAGTTATTCCTGTAATTACTATTTTTAAATAGTCTTCTTAACTTTGGGGAAACTTTGCCCTCCACCAACACGCACACACATACTCTCCTGTGATGAGAAGGCCGAATGCTATCCAGTGCACTGGTTCAGTCAGCAATCTGCCCATGTTCCTGGAGAAATTAGTCCCAGTCCATTTGCTGTCATGGTATCTCTGGAGCCACCCCTTTCTGCAACAAGCATTTTGAAATTCATCCATGCTCATCTCATTTGGATTTCAATGTTTCCTCCCACTCCACAGCCGATTCGGAGTTCTTGGGAATTGTTGGAAATATTGATTGCATTTTACTGCGAAAGTCTTTCATCTAAAAGAAGAAAAATAATCAGTTATCAAATATTAAAAGAAGGAGAAAACAGCTATTAGAGATGGCGCCTTACCTGACTCACTAGTACTTTACCACTCACAGGTACAGAGCTAAGGAACATTAATAAAAGATAGGGACTATATATATTCTAGGTATCTTGAAAGAAAATGAAGTATACTTCCTTTCTTCTTCTGAGTATAAATTTATTATTAAATAACATAAAACTTCACTCTTAGCTGGACATGGTGGCTCACACCTGTAGTCCCAGCTACTCAGGAGGTTAAGGTGGGTAGACTGCTTGAGCCCAGGAGTTTTAATCTGGCCTGGGCAACATAGCAAGACTCCATATCTTTAAAAACAAACAAACAAACCACTCTTAATCTGCAAGGCAACATGTCCTAAACTGTCAGCCCTCCATAATAATTATTCCCTCCCAGAAGAAGAGTGTGTATTGTTGGCTTTCATATATAAAGATGCCGTTGAGGATGGGATTTCTTTTTTTCTTTTTTTTTTTGAGACGGAGTCTCACTCTGTCACCCAGGCTGGAGTGCAGTGGCGCGGTCTCGGCTCACTGCAAGCTCCGCCTCCCGGGTTCATGACATTCTCCTGCCTCAGCCTCCCGAGTAGCTGGGACTACAGGCGCCCGCCACCATGCCTGGCTAATTTTTTGTATTTTTAGTAGAGATGGGGTTTCACCATGTTAGCCAGGATGGTCTTGATCTCCTGACCTTGTGATCCGCCCACTTCGGCCTCCCAAAGTGCTGGGATTACAGGCGTAAGCCACCATGCCCGGCCGAGGATGGGATTTCTATCTGAATAAATAAATATGATTAGGTCATTCAAAGCTAGAATTTTCACAGGGAGAAATGACAGAAGAAACTTAGTAGGAGTTTAGCGAAGAATAAATCAAGGAATGGTAGATAAACTGGAATGTTCTTACGTGCCAGACGATGTTTGTTTGTTTGTTTTAAATCTAGGTAGGAGTTTTACAAGCAGAAGTTGATTTGGAATCTAAGAGTCACAGCAAGGGAACAAGAGATTTTTTTTTTCTTTTTTTGAGGCAGGGTCTCACTCTGTCACCCAGGCTGGAGTGCAGTGGCACGATTATGGCTCACTGCAGCCTCAACCTCCCGGGCTCAAGTGATCGTCCCACCTCAACACCCCCAAGTAGCTGGGACTACAGACTTGTGCTAACTTTAGCATTTTGGGTAGAGATGGAGTATTGCTGTGTTGCCCAGGCTGGTCTCAAACTCCTGAACTCAAGCAATCCTCTGACTCTGGCCTCCCAAAGTGCTGAGATCACCGGCGTGCACCACTGCGCCCAGCCTAAGAGATCTTAACATGCAGTGTCACACAGTATTACAGTTTACCTGGAGCACCTGGGTCCACCTAAGGTCTACAACCCCATAAGGTAGGAACACTAACTTACGGAAGTTAGGTGATCTTTACGCTGGACAGTACTAGTCATACACTCTCTGATTCATCCTGATTAATCTATACAGTCCTCCTACAAAGATATTTCAGCAGCACCACAGCACTACGTTCCAATTTTTCCTCATCAGCCATCTGCCAGTCATATATTCCTAAGGATAGAGATCGCCTTGATCAGGTTTGTGAAGTACCCTGGACTCATCTGCAACATGCAAGTCATTTCTTAGAGTGGTTATTTTGAGAATCGGCTAATATTTCTTTAACGTCGATGCTTATTTATTTCAATTTGAGGCTGAATCTTTACCTTGTTTCCAGATTCAGGGGTTTGGGACTTGTAAATCCTAGGCCTTTACTCCTAGCACTGCGGCAAACTGTAGCACTGCTGTCAACAGCATGGACTCTGTTCAAATCCTAGCTCCACCACTTGGGAAAGCTGCTTACTCTATTAAGCCATAGTTGCCACATATGTAGAATGGAGACAGTAATTACCTGCTTAAAGAGTTGTGAAAATTAAGGAGTAAGGGAGATGATACATATAAAGCACAGCATCTAACACATGGAAAGTGCTCAATATACATTAGCTATTATCATTGCTGTATTATCGAAATACGTGTGCTGTATTGCAAGAACAAAGCTCACATGAATATAAATACTATGGAATGTCTGTTAAGTATATTACTTTATAGCAATATATCATTTTAGCTTACATATTCTGTCACTGGAAGATACGGAAGGCCTTCCTTCTGTATTATATATTGTCTGTATCTGTGCCAGCCATCTCAGTGTTCTGGACCCAGACACTCATCTTGAAGACACACAGCTCATGGATGTCTCTCTCCCCCACTCCCTCTTCCATAAAGAATTAATTGCTTTGTCCAAAACATTATTATTGCTCCCACTGAGGAACTTTGCATAGACTTTTGTAGTTGAAAAACAGACATCTCTCTGGCCAGGGTTGGCACTGTGCTGCCTGGTTCTTTCTCTTCACTCTTCTGGTTGAACATCTTTTACAACAAAGCCAGATGACAGTTTTCAAATGGGATGTCAGATAGCCAAGACATGAACCAAAGCATTCACCAGTCTGCCTTCCAGTGGTCCGGAACGTGGTCAGCTGCTGACAAGGGAGAGGCTGGGAAATGCAGGTGAGGCCAGGGGAGGAGAGCAAGAGGCAGTCCTGCTCTCCTTCAGCAGGGTTATGTTTTCGTTTCCTCCTTTTGGCCTGATTGCTTTCTTTCCTCTAATTTCTCAAATATTAAATTCTTTACTCGTGCCCAGGGTCATGGCAACTGAATCACTGGAAGCACTCAAATCTGAAAAGTAACTAACTAGGAATAGACAGATCTGAGATGAGGGAAAGGAATGGAGAGGGGTAAAGGGTACCATCTATCCCTGTTCTCTAAGTTTACAGCTGTGGAAATGGAAAGTCAGACATTTAAGATATAAACAGGGCCTCAAGTGGTTTTAGAGAATGGGCTGTACAGAAGGCTTTTCAGCTCATACTGTTCATATTACATGGATAGTACACGAAAACCTTCACATAGTTTCCACCCATATCAATTTCTGATATGCAGTTCAGAAAAGGTGTTGGTTTTACCAAGATTCTCTATACATGAGGCCAACAGAACATTTCCCCATTTAAAGATGTGCTTGAAAAAAGATTTAGGGGTTGAGTGCATTTAAGCAAATTTGGTTATAAAGTAAATGTACTGAATTCCTTGATAATCACAGCTACTGCCATAGAACTGTTCCTCTGCCCTGTACCCCAGAAGTCTGGTGAGGGGGTATGCTGGGAACTAGAGTACCCATCCAGCAACTCCATTTTACTCCCAAGCATTTTCCAAACTGTAGTTCTCTCTTCTTTCCTCTGACCAGGGAAAATTTTCCTATGCTATGGATAACAGGGTTACCCTTCCAAGAAGTGCTGCTGTGCCCTGCACACCTCCAGGGGGCGCTTTCCAAAAAAACTAAGACATGAGTGGGGTGTGGTGGCTCGCACCTGTCATCCCAACACCTTGGGAGGCCTAGACGGACGGATCACTTGAGGCCAGGAGTTCGAGACCAGCCTGGCCAACGTGGTAAAATCCCGTCTCTACTAAAAATACAAAAATTAGCCAGGCATGGTGGTGCATGCCTTTAGTCCCAGCTACTCAGGAGGCTGAGGCAGGAGAATTGCTTGAACCCAGGAAGCGGAGATTGCAGTGAGCCAAAAGCACGCCACTGTACTCTAGCCTGGGCCAGAGAGTGAAACTCCATCTCAAAAGAAACCAAAACCAAGACATGAATGGTACTCCCCAGTGCCATGGGCACACCATCCTCATCTAAGACATGAGTGGTACTCCCCAGTGCCATGGGCCCACCATCCTCATTTCTAAGCCCCAGTGCTTTAGTGTCCAACAGTGCTGTATTGTAATAGTCACAGGAAGTACCACTGTCTGAGGTAGTAGTGCTCAAATGGAGTGTCATGACAAATGGAAAATGTATTACGAGTATTTTGTCACAAATATGGACGTTCTGTAGATACAATGGACTTTTTAGATATTAAAACAGATTCAGGATTATGCCTCTAATAATGTTATTCTCATTCACATTTCAATAGCTTCTTGAAGGGTCATATAGCCAGTAGGCCAGGAGTGAGGTCAACCACTGATGTCACTCAGAAAGTCCTTACTGTATGCCAGGCATATTTCTCACTTAACCCTCCCAACAACCAAGTGGGACAAATACCATCCCTCCTTTAAAGATATGGTGATGGAAGCTCAGTGCTCAGTGCCATGGCTGGTAAGAGCAGATCCGACCGCACAGCCCATGTGCTTACTCTGTACACTGCTTGAATATGCACAGGGGACACTCTGCACATTTACCATGCATGTCTCAGTAGGGGAAAAACACTTGAAAACATTTGGTCTAATACACAGTGTGCTGACAAATTACTTAAAAGCCTCAGGTTATGTCCCCAATTTAATTAATTTCAGAAAATCCTTAAGCATCAATTCCAATAAATAGGCAGTTGTTGGAATTACAAGCTCTCAGTTTTGAAATGTTTTTGCTATTGTCTGGCAAATTTAGCTATGTCTTCGCTTGCTGGTACAGGACTGTTACCGACCTCAATGCTAGGGGCAACAATGATGACAGTTCTATAGGATCTACTGATGAAAAAACCTTTGGATAATGTCAATAATTACAGAGTCAATGGTAATTTTCAACAATCTGGTAATTCAGCTTCTTCATAAAATACAACAGAATAAGACTATATAATACTGGTAAAAGGAGATTAAAAAGTATAGTTAGGTTGTAAAAATGTTACTTGAACAGGAATAATATCTGCCATTTCTGATCACTTAAGTGTCAGGCACTGGACAAAGCATTAGGCTATTATTTAATCTTCACAATTCTATATGGCAGAAATTATTACCACCACTTTACATATGAAAAACCAAATGTCAGAGAGGTTAACTCATCCACAGATACATGGCTTATGAGTACAACTGCCTGGCTGATGCCCAGACCTCTCTGATTCTGGGACCTAGAAAGACAAAGTACCCTGTAACTTCTACCCATTTACCAGCTTT